ATTTGTTTAGTTAAAAATGTACCGTGGTGTCAGCAGGGGCTGGGCTTTCAGAGAGGGGTTCAGAACAACAGGGAGCAGGAAAATCATCCAGCAACTCCTAAGAGTGTGTGGAGTGTGAATCTGTCACCTTCACTCTGTGAAGTTCCAACAATCTAAATGGCTGAGAGATGTATTTTATATTTAATATTAGAAGCATGCTGTGCTAAAACACTAAATGAATTGTGTAAATGTCAGTAAATTGTGCATATATACAAAGACAGAGTACAGGGTGTGTGTGACTTTTTTTTTTATAAAGCCAAGCAAACTGGTGTATGACTAAATGGATTTTGGAGACAGATATGCATGCCAGTCTTAGTTGCAGACTTGCCAAATAATCTTTTAATGAAATCAGCGTTTGCCAATGTTTAAGCTGACCCAGCAACTTTCATCAGGGTATTAAGATTTTAAAAGTCACTGGAACCAGCCACAGTATGGCTTATCCAAAATGTAAACAGACTGGTTCCGTTTAACCATCTACAGTATAATATATTAAATATATCCAGTATTTGAAGGAATTGCATAGTCTTTTCAGTGTTTTATTTGATTAACATTTAAAAAAGATCAGCTTGATGCAGATAGCCTTATCAGATTATTAGTACTTATGTACAGTATGTATCCCTAATGTGTGCAGTGTGTTCCTGGCACAAGGACGCCAAGGGGGATGGGGCCTACTGTGCTCTCATACACTGCACAGATTGTAGTCTCCAATGCAGGTCCCCCCTATCCACCATTGCCATCATTATCGCCATTGGTTTGTAGGCTCGCTGGCGTCCCCAGCTTGCAGAGTTGGATTGAGCTTTCTCTATGCAGAGCTGCTCTACTTCCAGGTTCTAGCTGCTGGGTCCACCCCTTGGCCCCCACCTCCAACTCTTGCTCTACTGTCACATTGTAAGATAAGGGGGGCATTTGATCTCAGATGGGACTCCTGATCTAAGGGGCAACTCTGATCTAAGAGGAGGCTCTGCTCTAAGAGGGAACACCTGATCTAAGGGAGGGACTCGTGATGTGGGGGGGGGGGAATCTGACTTATGGGGGAATTCCTGATCTTAGGAGGACTCTGATTTAAGGGGGCACTCGTGGTCTGGAAGGGACTTTGATCTAAGAGGGGACTGTTATCCAAAGGTGACTCCTGATCTAAGGGGGGACTCCTATGTAAGAGCAAACTAAACTAAGAGGGAGTCCGATGTAAGAGGGGACTGATCTTAAGGAGGGACTCTAATATAAGGAGGTATTTTATTGTAAGAGGTGGCCTTGATCTAAGGGGGGATTTCAATGTCAGTGGGGGACTCCTTTGTAAGGGGGGAAGTTCTATGTAAGTGGGGGACTCCGATGTAAGGTGGGAACTTTTATGTAAGTTGGGTACACCTATGTAAGAGGGGACACCAATGTAAGAAGGGGAGCTCCTGGTTTCCTAAGTTGTAACTGCCTTCCTGCCTGGTTGCAAAGTAGCTGCTGACTATTTTATGAAGTTCTTCTCTAATGTAGGCTGAAAAACATCCATTTATTACTGAAGGTGTTTTTTTTGCTATGGGGGCGTGAAACAATGTATATGTGTAGGTCGGTGCATGGCTTTCCATTGTTGCAGGCCCAAAGCAGGGACTAAATTAAGTTCTTGCACACAGACCCACTGCAATCAGAAAATGCCCCTGGAGCATCATATATGCTAGTTGTATGCGCAGATTACTGCTTTGCAGTTCAAGAGAGTGATTGTTCTTCACCATTTTGTTTTTTACAATGCAAGCCTTCCTGGTCAATTTACTAAAGGAGTAGAGTATTTTCACTTTCCAAAGTGAATGTTTACTTAGTGAATAAGGTAAAGCTGTGATCACATTACTCACAATCATGTGCAAAAAAAAATCCTTTTTCTTAAATCAGCTTTGCTTTATTCACTAAGCTAAGTGAACATTCTCTACTCCTTTAGTAAATAACCACCATTTTGTTAACAGTTATTAGGCGAGAGACAGAGTAATTGTACCAAGTCATTGAAAGCTCCCTCAAGTGGCTAATTTACCAATCTCTTTGAATATTACAACAACAACGTGGAGGAGCGAGCTTGTGAATACAGTAGGTGAAAGTCATATTAAAACTTGCTTCATAAAGACCCTGGGGAAATTCAGGATGAGTGTCGTAGACCCCCTTTATAATTTTGTTGGGTCTCTGCACTAAAATTGTTGGTGCTTCCTCCAGCCTTATGTACCTTTCAGAAACAGGATACTGTGGACACTCCCTCTCTCACATGGCCGAGGAGTTTTGTAGTGGGGTGGTTGTAGCCTGAACAAACAAATAAGAAACTAGCTCACCATCAGGGAGGCCAACCGTTATGATCCATAGCCACCATTCAGTTCAATAGCAGCTGTAAAATCCACCAACTGCCAACCGCTGTCAATCTGCTGTCAGGAAAGCCTTCCCTGTGACTCGCCATTTCCCAATAATAGGGGAATTGCCATGTTTGGATAATGACATCTCCAGTATCCCTGGTCCCTACACTTAGCTTTCGGCCTGGAAATCTCTTACAATGGGACCAGTGATAGAACTCTATGTGGGAAGCTGTCAGATTAATGACAGCTTCTCAGCACAGAGATGCCTCACTCTGAGCATTCTGTATGCCAGCTCATCTAATCTGTTAACAGGTTGCAAGTGAAACTAAACCCTCCTATAGTTTTCAGCCAAGGAAGCTGCCATCTTAGCCTCTGTTTGATCTTCAACTGCCAATGATGCTGCACATGTGGTCAGTTATGACACCAGCCATTTGATGGTTTGACAGTTTGGTTGAGAGCACAAGCAAATGTCACAGTTACATTCCTGGCATGTGCTGGGAATGTAACTGTTTTTTTTAAACTGATGGGTTTTGTTCTGCTCTAAGAATCTCTCACAACCACAGTTACATGTTCTTAAAGTGGTCATAGCTACAACTACCTAAGCTTGTGTACTGTTTTCAAAAATGGCACAAATGCTTGCCTGAATTAATAGTTTTAAAGGAAACTTCTTTCAAAAAATTGTCATAAATGCTTCACTGAGTTCCCCAGACTGTCTCCTTGCCCATCCAGGGCAAATTACAATTTCTTTGAAAAGCCCACCCTTCTAACTGCTTTTTACTTACCACTCCAGCCTTCTTCCACTGACTCCTTCTTCTGTGACTGTATGAAAAAATACTCAGTGATCACCCAGGATGGGAGAGCCATTGTAGTATCTTACAAGATGCAGAGATCAGGCCTGGCATACCGTCATCTGATGGAGGAGGGGGTGACGTCACTGCACTTCTAAGCTTCAATACCAGCCTAATACCAAGTATTATTGTGACATCTGCATCAGAAGAAGGAAGAGTAGGGGAATGCTGGAGAGGATGTAAAGAGGGCTCTGCATAGATGCGACACCTTTGTCTTAAATCAGCAAGGAGACAATAGGGTTGATTTGCTAAAACTGGAGAGTGCAAAACCTGGTAAAGTTGTGCATAGTAGCCAATTAGCTTCTAGTTTATTTCAAAATTTAATTGAACAAGCTGAAGGTAGAAGTTGATTGGCTACCCTGCACAGCTGCACCAAATTTTGCACTCCAGTTGTCGTAAATCAACCCCATTGTCTTTTTAAGGTGTACTGTAATAATTGTAAGAGCATGAACTCATTTTAAATACAAAATACTTTACCTTTAAGACTGTGAAGAAAAATAAAAACTTGAGCAGAATGCAGCTGGTGGAGAAAATGATTTTAGCGTATTCTGTTTTCTATTAGGAAGTGCCACATGGGTGTGATACCTGAATTAGGCAATCATATTTAGAGCAAGGTATAAATGCATTGCTGGCCCTGCTGCTTGATATTTTATCTGCCATGACCAGAAATGGGACATCAAATGCACAGGGAAAGGGACACATTTATCAGGAGTGCTGAAGACAGCTCAATTTGCTTATGTCTCAAAAAGATCAGCCATTTAAGTGATTTTGGCTTGGACATGTGGGGAAAAGATATTATCCACTGAGAACAGCTGTGGTTGAAAATGCTTACTATTTTGGGGGCAGGGACCGATGTGAGCGTTTCAGTGTTCTTTGTAAGGCACTGCGTAAATGTAAATCACAACTAAAATATATACTTTAGTAGATTGCAAGCTCTTATGAACAGGGCCCTCTTAACCCTCTTGTATTTTATTGCACTGTAACGGTACTGTCTCCCTTTATATTGTGGAAACTGTAGTCACTATATTAAAGTATAATAATAGAATAATAATATTATTACTTATTTAGTATAGTTAGTACTTAGTATAATAATTATAATATTACTTTATTAAAGGTATACCTAACTATGTCCTCCACATATTGGTTTTCTATATAAAACAAATCGAAACTCAGAATCAGCTGACTTTAGGTTTAAAGGTATTATAAGAAGTAGTATCTGCCAAGACTTGTCCATAGGATTCCTTAGTATCCTTTTTCATGATGATGATAATTATTACTATTATTTTTATTATTACTACTCTTTCTACTACAGTATTTGTAAAGCCCAAACTATTTTTTTTAAGCTTTAATAGAGTGGGAAATAGTTAGGACCCCTGTTTTGTTTTATGTCCCAGGTGAAGGGGAAATTTCTCTTCACTTCCTGCTCCAAACACACAACAGGTAATTAGAAGTGACCTCTCCACAGTGAGGGAATATCCTCTCTTAAGCTGCATATACATTATACAATTTTCTTATGCAATTTCCTTTATATTTACCTTCAGCTATGTAAAGCAAGGGCCTGCCTGATTGCATACAAATTGAAAGTGTTTAGATTTGACCTCATATTATGTTTTTGTTAAATCTAAAGGAAAATTATATAATCTATGGCCATCCTTAGACAGTTGTCACAGAACCAGGCGTCCCCATTGGAGGATTTCCCCACCCCTGTTCCTGTGACAACTCTGAGACAGTGATTACAAAGACAAATAGAGAGGATGATTCTTCATAGCAGAGACCCGGACTGCAATAAAGACCTGTGGGGGGCAGGGGCAGACTGACCATTCAGGCACTCGGGCACTGCCCAAGGGCCCGGGGTTAGTAGGGGGCCCCATGAGATGCCCCTGGTACCTTTCATAGGCTTTTTTGGGTGTGGATTGAGCATGGGCAAGGACAAAGGTGCCCCACGATCCCCTATTGCCCGGGGGCCCCATGAGTTGTCAGTCTGCCCCTGGTGGCAGGTATTAACACTCCCATATGCTATCCAAAATAAAGAAACATTTTTTTCGCTTTATATATACTTTGGGGGGATTTATTAAACCTGTAGCACTCAGAACCTGGTGCAGCTGTGCATAGTAGCCAATCAGCTTCTAACTTCAACATGTTCAATTAAGCTTTGAAATTAAAACCTGGAAAGCGATTGGTTTCTCTGCAGAGCTGCACCAGATTTTTGCATGCTTCGGTTTAAGCAAATCTCCCCCTTTATGTGCTTATGGCTTTTCTTCTAGTTTGTTTATTTTGTTTGAATACTGGAACTGTTTATATCTATCTCCAAGCAATTTTTGTTAAGGTTTGGATAACATGTGGAAGAGTTAAACTTTATTAAAAAAATAAACAAAAAACTTAAAAAAAAAAAAAAAAAAATAAATAAAAGTTGATTTTCTGTCTGTGACTTCATTGACAAGAATGTTTCTTACTTCCTTGTGCCAGTCACTGAGACAGGAAGAGCCTCATTGAAAAACATTGTCAATAATTCTAACTTTTTTTTTAAGTGTTTCATTGTCATCTGTGACTCCAGTTTGGATATTTCCCATGACTTCCTTTCCTGACAGGAAGTGAGGGGAAATTGCTCAATAGGGACACTGATGACAATGAAAACCTGACAGAGGTTCTAACCCTTCTTTGCTATATCCAACATGAAATAAAACATTTTGTTTTTCATATGCTGCTACTTAAAAAAGAACTTTAGGCAAAAAGCATAATTGTATGATTTCAGTAAGGTGGTCTATATAGTTTATATGTTTTTTCATATAATTACAGCTGATATTATGGAAATTATACCCACCCATTTGCTTCCTTACTCATCTCTGAAGCCTCAGCCAGCTGACTGGACAACAAAGGAGCAGAAGCACACTGATGAAGTCATCCCTATGTTTTTTCTTCTTGAAAACATATTGGATATTAGGCTAACAAGCATTGTCCAGTAGTCACTAGAGAGTCATAACTGGCTCATAGTTGAGTGCTGTTGTGCAGATTACAGGAGGATATTTTTGTATGCAAAAATATGTTGAAGGCCTATTCAAAGGAATGGGCTGCCCAAGCATAATGCGCATTACTGCGTGACATTAACACACCAAAGTAGAGAAATCTGAATTAGCCCCTTAATAATATTTTAATAAATACTTGTGTATTCAGTGGCCCAAAAATATTGATATTTGACAAAGATGATGGATGGTCAGTCTGGGCCTATCCATGCCAAATGCAAACTCAAGCTGCGTTCTTTGTGACTCCTTACTTATTTCTTCACTTTGAATAATAACACGTCCTGCTCAATTCCATCAATCATTAGCCCTTACTCAAGATGGCCTTGGCTAGAAAGCCTAGGGGGTGTTTTCCAGTGATTTCTCAGCAATCATGGAGACATGGATGAGGGAGTTTGCTTTGAAAGTTAAAAAGTCATAAATCCTCTTCACCTTCTTCTTCCTCACACAATGGTCAAACCCTGAATGCTGCAGAGAACACCACATAATGACGTAGCGCTTATCTTAAGCGTTCAAGATGGGGATGTAGCCTTGATACCCCAGGGAAGTGGGTTGAATGATGATGGGTGCCATTGAGTCCAGAAGAGAAGCAGCACTGGATGCTTATTAGGGTGAGTCTGTGAGGAAAAGCAAAGGACAGGGGTGAGTATAGCATGTTATATTTGTACTAGCTTCCAAGGGGAAACCTTTCTGCATTTTTTGTCTAAGCTGGATTTGGGCTTTAACGGAACATTCCCTTTTTTTATTTGTAGTAATCTGTGCATTGCTTGGTTAACACGAGTTAATAGTCAAATAAAAAAGTCAGCTGCTATGTGAGTGATGAATATTACTAAGTGCTAATTGTGAATCGCCTGCACCTAACACATACTCAAACTAGCATGCCAAACCAATATTATTTACCAAAATGTGCTGCTCTTCACTTAAAATTGCTCAAAATAAATATTATGTGCATCCAATTGCTACTATTTATAATGCATATCAAAATAAATAAAGTTAAAACAAATGAATCAAGCAATATCAATTTCCAAAAACAATGTCCATATAATTGTCAAAAACAGTCAAAAAAAGGGGTCCATATATGAACTTCTGCAAATGTGCATAGTTCACTATAGCATAAAATATCCCGTCCTTCTTAATTGATTTTTTGTGTGAAAAAAACTTGCATTAGTGTGCTCCCCCAAGGGTTATGCTCTCAATATTAATAGTCAAATAGGCTTTTAACTTAAGTCTGCACATGTGAGCTTTCCGGCATTGTCACCCTTTGCACATAAGGCAGCACATTATACCATCTTATCAAAGTGTGAAGGCCTACATTGTGGTCATAGAATGGCCATTGTTATGTGTATATCTCTTTTTGTTTCTTTCACAACATTTTTACATAGGATTCATGATAGTATTCCACAAGCATGCATGACAAAGCCCTAATTAGATACTTCTGGCACCAACCTTATCTCAGGAAAAATATCAGACAATGGTCAGCCTGGATCTTCAGCAGATACCGATCAAACTGTCTGCTGAGAAATTAATCCTTGCCATTGTTCATTCACTGAGAGTCATCCAATGTCTCAAGTAATGTTGTCATTGACACTCTGTAACTTTAGTAGTTTTACATTGTTTGGGCTTCAATAATGAATTGCATCTTGGCCTGATGACAGCTGTGTTTATTCATGGATACATTTACCATGCACCAGATCACCAGCTAAGTATAGGAGACAGAAGAGATCTACATGTATTGGTATGTATCAATACAAAGACCAGATAAACTGTTTTTATTGCTGTTAATGTCACTTTACATATAGTATCAGCTTTGTCAAGTAAGATGTCACTGACACTCTGTAACATTAGTAGTTTCATTGTTTGGGCTTCAATAATGAATTGCTACTTGGCTATGACAGCTGTGTTTATTCCAGGCTGTGCAATATTCATTTTATTTGTTTTTAACGTAATAATGCTCTATGTCTGCTGTACACAACTTACTAAGTGAAATTACTGTACTGTATAAACAATGGACAACTACAGGATGGATCTAGGGAACAGGAGGTAAGCTAGTTAGCTCTGAAATCCATATACTGTATACTGTATATATATATATATATATAATATATATAAATTCACCTGACTGTGGGAAAAGGTGCTTGCTTAGGTTAAGGGTCAGAAGGGTTTGGGTTAGGAATATACAGAGTTTGTAACAAGCCAAATATATTTTATAGGGAAATCACACCTGAAAGCAATATTCTCCTTTGCTGGTCGTCTGGCGGATATATGTAATATATAAATATGGCAACATTATCAAGAAGTTTGCATATATAATAGTCCGGATATATATATATACATACATACATATATTCCTAACCCCTGACCCTTAACTTGAGCAAGTGCAACCCAATAATCCAATGCTATAATACTTTAAAGCACTGTCGGCTGCCTTAGGATACATTGTACCCCCTCAATGCACTGATGCATACATCACTGACCACCAGGGGCGGACTGACCATTTGGAAACTCGAGCACTGCCCGAGGGCCCGGGGTCAGTAGGAGGCCCCATGAGATGCCCCTGGTACCTTTTTCATAGGCTTTTTTGAGTTTGGGCAAGGACACAAGGGCCCTATAATCCCCTATTGCCCGGGGGCCCCATGAGTTCTCAGTCCGCCCCTGCTGACCACTCATGTACACTATTTTTGCCAAAAGTATGGGGGGGGCTCCTGCCTTTACATAAACATTTAATGGCACCACAGTCTTAGTCCGTAGGACTCAATGTTGAGTTGGCCCACCCTTTGCAGCTATAACAGCTTCAACTCTTCTGGGAAGGCTGTCCACAAAGTTTAGGACTGTGTCTATGGGAAGGTTTGACTATTCTTCCAGAAGCGGATTTGTGAGGTCAGGCACTGAGGTCAGAGAAGAAGGCCTGGCTCGCACTCTCTGCTCTAACTCATCCCAAGATGTTCTGTTGGGTTGAGGTCAGGACTCTGTGCAGGTCATTCAAGTTCCTCCACCCCAAACTCACTCATCCATGTCTTTATGGAGTTCAATAATGGTGCAGCGCTAGATGCTATTAAAGATATGATCATAAAAGACAAAACTGATAAAAGGGTACTAATAAAAGTTCATAAATGAGCAATAAATAAATGATAAATAGTTCAAAGGTGACTTTAGTGTTCTTAAGGTGCCTGTTTCCCTGGTAAGCCGGTGCTTGTGCAATAGTTGTGGAAGAATTGCGCACTCACCAGATGTGCAATTCAAATGCACCTATAAACATATATCCAGATGTCCTCAGGATAAGCCAGGTGATTGGGTGACTTCCCTCTGAAGGGTAGATAGTACATCAAAGGATCCTGGGGCTTTAATCGTGATCCAAGACAGCCAGAGCTCCCCTTAAGGGTTGAGCGGGTGCTGCTCCCTGGGTATGCAGGAGATTCCCTCTCTGGGTACTGGGATGGATCTTTGTCTTTAGCAGGGTGTCTGAAATTCCCCCTTTTTAGTGCACCCGCATATTTCTACCTTTTATTTCATGTCTTTATGGACCTTGCTTTGTGCACTGGTATGCAGTTATATTGGAACAGGAAGGGGCCATCCCCAAACTGTCCCCACAAAGTTAGGAGCTTTAAATTGTCCAAAATGTCTTGGTATGCTGACACCTTAAGAGTTCCCTTCACTGGAACTAAGGGGCCAAGCCCAACCCCTGATAAACAACCCCACACCATAATCCCCCTCCACTAAACTTTACACTTGGCACAGTGCAGTCAGGCAAGTAATGATCTCCTGGCAACCGCCAAAACCCAGACACATCCATCAGAAAATCACTCCAGAGAACACGTCTTCACTGCTCTTGAGTCCAGTGGTGGCATGCTTTACACCACTGCATCCAACGCTTTGTATTGCACATGGTGATGTAAGGCTAGGATGCAGCTGCTCGTCCATGGAAACCCATTCCATGAAGCTCTCTATCAGGGGTGGACTGACAACTTATGGGGCCCCCGGGCAATAGGGGATCATGGGGCCCCTGTGTCCTTGCCCAAACTCAAAAAAGCCTACGAAAAAGGTACCAGGGGCATCTCATGGGGCCCCCTACTGACCCCGGGCCTTCGGGCAGTGCCTGAGTTTCCAAATGGTCAGTCCACCCCTGCTCTCTATGTACTGTTGTTGTGCTAATATGAAGGCCACATGAAGTTTGGAGGTCTTTAGCTATTGACTCTAAAGACAGTTGTGCACTTCAGCATGTGCTGTCCCCGCTCTGTCATTTTACGTGGCCTGTTGTTCCCAGGTGCTTCCACTTTGTTATAATACCACTAACAGTTATTTCGGAATTTTTAGTAGCAAAGAAATTTCACAGATGGACTTATTGCACAGGTGACAACCTATCACGGTACCACGTTTGAATTCACTGAGCTCCTGAGAGCGACCCATTCTTTCACATATGTTTGTAGAAGACGTCTGCATGCCTAGATGCTTGATTTTATACACCTGTGAACATGGAGGTGATTAGAACGCCTGAATTCAATGATTTAGAGTGGTGTCCCAATACTTTTGGCAATATAGTGTATATCTCGCTTCTGCTTCTGGCCCGATGCACAGCTTACTGCTGATGATTGCTGCATTTATGCAGCATTGCCTCCTCCCCACGGGTTACCACTGAGACTGCAGCACACTTGGCCACTGACAGTCACATTACATCACTGATATACTGTATATACAGCATGCTGCTGCCCTGAATGCCACTGCACTAACTCCACTAGCCATCACCAACGTAACCACATACCACATATCAAAATCTGCTGCACTATATACATTGTATATATATAATATTCCCAGAGTGCTGGACTCTGTGCACTGTTTCATACATTTATTTATACCCACCAAGAAGTTTTTACGATATGCGGTGTTCATCCATCCAAGAAACAGGCACACTTTTGCTAGTATTTCATTATTAAACCTATTCCTTCAAGTGTATGCAGTGTGAAATACTCCAAATGTATATGCATAAGGATATTAGCTATGGACTCCAGTGTCATGTCCCTCTCTGTTCCCAGTTTCTTTCATAACATATCTGTTGATCCTACCAGAAATATAGTAGGCAAGTCACTTCCTTTCTTCAAATGACAACACACTTAGATAGGAATAAAAATTTGCCAGTAATATTGTCACTCAGATGCAAAACTATCCTTGACTGGAGGCAGACATGCCTGCACATCCCTGTCAAATTCCTCCTTCTCCTATTCTTATCTCCTTCACTGCAGTTCCTGAATAGAGGATGAGCTGAGCTACTTACTGGCTTTCAGTGATTAGAAAAAAAAATGTATATTACTGGTCATATGAGAAATAATATAAAGGAATTGTTTCATGTATTCTGGACTGTTTCCAATACATTAAATTATATATTCAGCGCAATTGCTACAATTTTCATGTAACTAAAAGGTAAATATCTGCAGGTTGCATATAAATGCTTCTTACATATCTACGTACTATTAGCCCTGGTTCACATTGGTGCCTTTTGTCATGCAATTTGACAGTTCCAGTGTAGGTACAGTGAATATCTCCTAAACGTGTACTATTTAGGAGATATTCACTGTTGCTGCAGTCAGTGATATCACAGCACATGTTCTCTGAAGTGACAGCATACTCATGCTGCGGCCGTAACTCCTGTGTGCATGCAGAGGAGTGACGTCATTCCAGCTCGGCCATTCAAACAGCAGGAGCCCACAAACCTGGAAGGACAATGGAAGCCCTATCAAGGGTGACAGCAGACTGCTGGAGGGCTTTGTTTTTATGTATTTTATTATGTGCTAGCATGGGATCCATACTAGCCCATTATAACATTAACTTGCTGGTGGACTTTTTTTTTTCATTTACTTTACTTCCGTTTTAAAGCGTTAGTTCACCATTACAGAAAAAAATGTTGCAGAGGATGTCTAAAACCTTACATGTATTTTAGTGCTTCATGCAAGCAGAAAATAACCCTTCAGGGGACGTTCTGTAAACCAACAGTGTTGCCATATTGCATTGAATTTTACAGAAAACGACAACTGTTGCAATTTGAAAAGGAAAGGTAATTCTTAATAACAATAAAGCAGTATTAAACCCAAAAGCAAACATATATTATATTGCAGCTTACCAATTCTTAGATGTGATAGTTGCATTCATTTTCTTTTTTAGGCTTTTTTTCTTCTATTTTCAACTGGTGATCCAGCCAGTAAGTCATGGTTTTAACAGATGATTTCTTTCTTCAGATCAGTTTTGCAAAGTCAGTGAAGTTCACTTAAGCTCTTACATGATCAAAGATAAGATTTGATTATCTTTTTTTACTAGGTCATTAGGACATTTCTCTATGTATAAAGTTTTTGAGGCACAGCTAATATTAATTTATCTGTTTAGATTAAAGCGGAGCTCCATCCAAAAGGGGAAGTTCCGCTTTAAGAACTGCTCCCCATGCTCCCCATTAAGGATTGGCACCTTTGGGGGTCGGGTACCCGAATTTGACAGGTACCCACTCACACTTCCGGTCCGATCGCCTAGGCAATCAGAAGCGGTGGGTGTCCTCCCACCCTCCCTCCCCTGTAGTCTTTTGGGACACGTGAAAGGTCCCGGAAGACTACAGGACCATTCATGAAGCGCAGCACTACTCGCGCATGCGCAGTGGGTACCTGGCTGTGAAGCCGCAAGCTATCACAGCCGGGTGCCCACACTGAAGATGCCAGCCTCCTGGAATACAGGACGGCTGGTGAAACGGGCTGCGGGGGACACACCACAGGACCAAGGGACAGGTAAGTGGCTATTTTTTAAAAGTCAGCAGCTACAGTTTTTGTAGCTGCTGACTTTTATTCTTTGACAGTGTGAGTGGAACTCTGCTTTAAGAAAGTTTTGTCCTTTCAGAATTATGTGCATCTATGAGAATCTTAAGCACGATAATTATTAATAATTCATAAGTATTTAGTGGATGCAAGAACTGTGGAAAATATGTGCTTTGTATACTGAGAGTAGGCTGAAATTCTGTTTAACCATTCCTATCAAAGCTATGCCCAATATTCAGCATATTGTAGCCATATCCACTTCCCACAGCTAGTGTTGCATGCTTACCCCCTCCAGGGTGTCTCTCTTACTCCATTTCCAAAGTTGGGGGGTATACAAAAGCAGCAGCTTTCACCTGATCAGCCGACCTCTGCAATTTGCCAACAATTCTAGCAGGCCACAGAATTCAGACAAGACTATGGCCTGTAAGAAACCTTTTATCCAGGTAAGTAAAAACATTTTGAGTTGCCAATTTTTTTTTTTTTGCATGGAGTTTCACAGTTCATTCAATACTCACTCAGCAGTTACCAAGTATCAGCCAAAGCATTGTGACCCCGTTGCACTGATGCATACCTCACTGTACATCAATGTATATCTTGTTTCTGCTTCTGTCTCTGCTTCTGCCCCAGTGCTTTGACTTTATATAACATCCTGAGTCTAATCCTTTCTTGTGAATGCAGAAAATCTGCATGATTATGCACCCTAAAAGTAATGATTTGATAGTAATTGCCAGACTAGATCTAAAATTTCCCACTCTTACCACTACCATCAGTACATACAAGAACTTTTTACTCACAGGATACAACTACGTCCCAATAAAAGCAATAGTAGGGTATGTATGACATTCTATTT